GAATCTCCTGGGCGCAGATACTCGGAGGCGCTCGTTGGCTGTGTACTTGGGCGGTTACGGTCCGGCGCGTATCTGCCGGCGTTCCTCGAGATGAATCTGGCTGCAGTCATTTTCCGGAGTGTGGAGAGAGGGATCGCCGAGTTCCTCTGGAAGCCGCGAAACTCGACGAAGGAAGGTGAATGCACTCGCGATGCGTTGGTTAAAAGGAAACCCTAACGAGCTGTCTGTTCGACGGTAAGAGGCGATTCACCATCCGCCTTCGCGCGGCGGCGGGAGGTCGTTGCGCGGCGCGGGCGCGGGCGCGTGCTCGTTGCCTCGCCCTCGGCCGACGCGCGAGTGAAGGAACGCGGCGTCGCGTCGCGTCGCGTCGCATCGGGGCGCAGCGTCACACCCGTCACGACGCGGCGCGAAGAGCTCGGCGGCCGCAGGTTCAACGCCTCCCTCGACGCCGCCACCGCCCTGCGAGCGCACGCCCTCCGCTCCGGAAGGCGCGCGCTGCACTCCCCGACTCCTCCCGCGCGCGAGACTGGCGGCTACGCACTACACGAGAAGGCGCACTGAACGATCGCTAACGGCCCTCTGCTAGTTGGTGTGTGGATGTGTAATACGCTACTGATATATCGACAACTTAATAGAGAAACGAAAAGCTATTCCAAGGTATTTCTTGTTTATATTCATTTTTTAAATAAAATATCATAATACCAGATATATTGTATGACAGACAGCCTCGGTTATAAACATCGGATGTCGCTTCAGTTTCCAGACTTTAATCGCGACTTTAATTTGTTTTTTTTATCGGTCTATCGACGTTAATAAAAATTCTGAGTCATAGTGGGTATTATTCAAATGCCCTTGTGAATTAACTTGAATATTCTGGACGTTAGACTTGAAATCGACAGTATGAACGTATTCAGTAATGATATTAATTATAATAATAGCATTAGCATTAGATAATGGCATTTCATCAATATGGTATGGCTCATTGTTCTTGATAGGCAAGTTATTGAAGCTGCTTTTATTCATTTGCTGATATGCGACGTGTAGGCCCTTCATTTCCTTCGTAACAGAATGCAATCCCGCTTTTAGTTTTTCTCATAAATAAACTATTTAAACGTAGGTTGAATCGAGTAGTTTTCCTGTAGTAGAAATTTTGGAACATTGGAGTCTAGATGAGATGTGAAGATCGCCATTGGAAGTTACCATGGGTCTCCAAGCAAATCCCTGTGACTTCAGCATCTCGCAACGGTAGTCGAGGGGATCGGAGAGCTAGAATTAAGGAGTCAGACGCATCTCCTCGCGTGGATTACGAGGCAGTCGCAGAAGTGCGCCTGATTGCTAGGAACTGAAATGCTCTTCGTGATGAAAGAATCACTTATGAAATCGAATATTGCAAATAGCCTTAGAGAAGGATATTGAGAGGTCAGGGCCGTAATGGGAAGTGCGAATAATATGGTAGTGCGGGGCATCTGAAGTCAATCCCCTGAATACGACCGCTGCTCGTCGATCGGGAGAGGCGATTGTGAATTCCCGAAGAGGCAAAGAGGAGTCGTGCTCGGCTTTTCGTTCGTCCCTTCCCGCACGATTGCAGCCGCTCGTTCTTGGGATAGAGCGGCATCAGC